TATCAAAACATTCATAACTAACGATACAAAATTGGTTCTGCTAAAATATGTAAGTATGTTTGTAAGAACCAATACAACACATGTAGTCAACTCTAAATAAATCGTTTTAAATGAGATAAAAGATTAACATGGAACTATATTTAGCTTAACACAAAATTTAACAAAAATGAATATGAAGTATGATAAAATATTTCATTAAATATAAAAATATAATCAAACTGAGTAAAATAAACAATAATAAACATTATAATGATTTAAATGAAACAAATAATAATCCAAAGTAATTTGTGTGAACTTAGTTAAAACTAATAAATGATAACTGTGATAAAATATTGATAATTTTCATAGAATTAAAAATGTGTTTTATTTAAAAAAAAACCCATAATTATATTTCTTTTTCTTTTAATAGCTCAAGATTTTATTACCTGAACAAAATTTAAGAATTATTATGAATAAGATTTATTTTTAGTCTATGTATAATGTATAATATACAGCACACTGTATCAAAATAAACTTYAAAATAATTTGTTATTTTCAGAAATTACTATTGATTAAAAATGTTTATCYTTAATTAATTACTACTCAAATTTGAATTGAGTTAGAGGAGACCTCTAATAATCTAGATTAATAAAAGGCTATGTTTCAATGTCTGTGTAGGTATATATGTGAGACCAATCTACATCTAATATTATACATTTTAAAGTGGTGCTTACACAGGGAAAGTCGCGAAAAACAAACATTTTTTTATTTGTATGGGGTTGCTATTGGTTACATAAAAAAAAAAAATACAATAGTTATTATGATTGTATACCATTTTAGACTTATATACGAATATTTGGCCAAAAACCACCAAAGGACTATTCTAAAAATACAATTATTTAACATTTAACAACAGAGTTTAAGACAGAGTAAATCTACATTATTTAATCTAACTTGACCCATGTAGGTTCTACTAAATTTTATAAAAAAAACAACAATAATAAATTAACTTACCTCATATGTGGTATTCCAACTCCTCCTTGTAATACTTTATAAAGTCTACTTTCATACTGTAACTGAGGATGGCGAGCTTTTGCACTTTCAAATTTTATTGCCACTTCCTAAAAAAAGAAATATATTTTTATCAAATTTAATGTATCTACAAGATTTATGATAATAGGTTGAATTGCATATTTGTATCAAAAAAAAATAAATAACACAAAACCTATTTAGCAATATATGTAAAAGTTTTAGAATATTTAACAACTACCAAAATGTTCCAAACCATCATCTAACTACCAATGTAGATTATTTTCAAGATTAAATTTAAAAAACATAATTTAAGAAATAAAATAAAATATAATGATRTAAAGTTTGGTAAGAAAGAATATCTTCACAATTCTGTGTTCTAAAATAATAATACATTTTATGCAAATTTGAAGTAGAAATATTTAATGTCATAAATCTTTATGCAATTAACTACTACTAATATCAAATAATTCTAAGATTTAAAAAAATATAAAATAAGTTAATATAGGTGCAATAAGTAAGGTAGTTATTTTTAAAATTTACAGAAAATAATTAACTTAGCAGTAGATAAATTCTTATAAACGAGTAGTAAATAATATATAAATCAGTATATAAGGAAGGTACTGTATAGGAATGGTATTAGGAAAAAAAACATTGATAACAAGATAAGGTAAAAAAAGCCCCATACCAATTAAATACTTAACACTTTTGTAATATAATATACCTACATTTTATAATTTTAAATTATTTAACAATATAGTTAATAATTATGTAACATTTTTTTTGGAAAATTAATTATTGTTTAATGTCATATACTAGATGTTATTATTTTCTTATAGTTATTTTTTAATAAAATGATTATATTACCTAGCATAATAATATAGTAAAATAATCATAACAAAAAAGAATTATGTAAATAGTTGGTACAGGGCTTTTTTTCTCAGAATCATGGGAATGATATATTTGAGAATGGATATTATTTTTTGCTTTAAATTTAACACCTTGGACCTGAATACTATAACCAAGGCTTAAATTTCAAGGTTTTATATCACAACTGTAGGAAGGTATATTAAAATCTATTGATACATCAAATTATTTTTTAATWATGGATTGCAGTAAGTAGATAATTTTAAGTTTTTTAAATTAATATTATAGTAACAATTTTAAACTTCACATTATTTTTTGTAGAAATTCACAATACAAATTATTTCAATATTTAAAAAACATTAATACTGCTTATTATTTTTGAAAAAATATAAAAATAAATTAGTTAGTTCAAGGTAATATTGAACAGCAGAATATCAAAATAAAATTGATTATCACCAAGAACCAACAATTATTTTGGAATAAGACATGGTATTAAATTTTTACAATTTAAAAATAGATTTACTGACTAGTGACAATGTGATTTTATTTTTATTTTATTTTTATCATTTAACTTTAAACATTATTTAAATTTTTAATCAAATAATGAAGTGATACATATTGATCTTCTTGATAAAGTGAGTATGTGTGAGTATAAGTAAAAATATTTTTAATTACTRCTATACTACCTAATCTAAAAAATGTTCTTGATAAAATTATAACTAGCACAGAATCTTGTCTAATTTCTTTTTCAATTTATTATTACTAGGTACCACTCAATTATAATTACTCAATAGCTATAGTTGTTATTCCATATTATATTTGATAATATAGGTACATTTTACACAACCAAACAAACGAGTAAGCTGTAATGTGTTAAATTATGTTTTCATTCATCTTGTCTGAATGAAAAGAAATGCAATATGAAGAAGACACCTAGGTAATGCATGTATGGCCAGGTGTCACCAAATAAGTTCTACATCTATATCATACTTTGCCCATGTACCAAGGAATGTATAAATTGATAACCGATTTCAATTAAGTACCAACAGCTCCTATGTACCTAATGATCGATAGTAGCCAACAAAATCTCCAATGATGGAGTATCACGGACGACATACCCAAGTAGGTAGGTACTAGGTAGTAAGTACCTCCCGCTACACTCACGAGGGACAACCATCAGCCATCAATTTCACACAAGTTATGTAAATACACGCACCACATAACTGTATACATTATATACATGCATATATATATATATATGTGTGTAATATACATAAGTAYAAACATATTCAATGGACGTGCACACTCGCTCATAATTAACTTACATACAATATACAAGATTGGTGTCATGTCCACACATCAAGAACGGTAGTGTTGTGTAGACAGAACGAGAGAAAACGAGGATAACATGAGAAAAAGATTGAYGTATATTATTATTCTCACCTCGCCGTTGATAACGTTGAGCCCGAGAAATATCTCTCCGAAAGAACCGCTGCCGAGCCTCCGGACGACGCGGTACTTTCCACCGCCTATATAATCGTGTTTGAACGTATTGGCGACATTCGACATTTTGCGTACGACTTCCCGGACGGTTTACAGATCCCAAATTTGGTTATCGACGGACGCGTCGGATGTGCCTGAGGGGCGGGCGCGCGCGCAGCTCGTTGCTTATGTTTCGAGGATAATATTATAATACAGACTAAGTCGGTTTGTCGATGACTTATTCTAATGTTCACATAACGATCGACGAGACTGGAGAAATTCGACGAAAACAAAAAAAAAACAAAAAAAAATTATTCCGAATACGTCCGATCGCTTTGTTGTTGTTGGCTCGTCTGACATTAATTTCGCYGCGACTCTAGCGACACTGGCGGTGTACTGGGACGACAGATTTCAAAGAGATCGCGGAAAAAACGGTCCTGCGCCACACTGTAACCACCACTACTCTACTACGGCCCGCGTACGTTTCAAAGATTTGTTCATTTTCAAGTTTCGACTTATCTGTCTATTAACATTCAACAAGACAACAAAACAACTATTTCTATTTTCTTGAATCTTAGATAGAAATTACTCAAATTAGGTACTCGACAGTCGACACTCGTAATAAATCGCAGTACTCTGACCAGATATTGAGATGCTATATGGCTATATGATTCCTATCGGTATACTCGTTGTTCGTTAATAATATAAAATGTACATATACCTACTTAAATATTATTATACAATTTTATTACAAATTTATAATCATGTAACACTCATTCGGAAAATCACTAATTTTGTCACTGYATAACAAATTTATAAATTAAAATACAGAGTGATTCATAAAACATGCTTCCCCTTTTTCCATCAATAATGCYGTTTTTCATAATCTGACATTTGAAATTTTAAAATATGGTACTAYCGCCATAAATTTAAGACCATACATTCAAATTCATGTATCAAACTACTGGTTATTATTCTTAAGGAATGTATTTTGGAGATACAAACTTCTGTTTTTCCAAAGGAAATTCACTTTTCCTGCTCTAGATTATTTATTTTGAGAATGTCGGAATCAAATTTCGAAGAGTGTTTTTTGAGTTATATAATAACATTGGGTACTATTATAGACTATAGCCTATAAGTATAATTATCCATTTAAAAGGACGTTATACCCGCAAATGTTTTCTCCTGTGAAAATTTCGTTCCTCTGTAAATTATGAATGTAGCCCTCTTAGACCTCGRTATTTTTCCCGCGCTAWGTTTTTTTTTGTTGCTGTATTTTACATTTGTAACCATAAAACAGTGACAACACATGCGAGTGTAGTATCCTCCTAACCATGATTATGAGTTCAGGAGACAATATGGGTTCATAGGTAATATATATATATATATTATATTTTAATATTTATGCATAGAGTCTATGGCCTATATGAAAATGTAAGTGATTCATGGTTATTACTTATTAATACAAATAATTTGTAAAACTGATCCAAGTATAATATACTCAATATTTAATTTATTTTATAATTTTGTAAACCATTTAAATATTCAAAAAATTATCCGCTCAATAATTTACGGTAAAAGGGTGTTAAGGGGGAGGAGTCTCATTGGAAAAAACAGAAATTTCTATTACTATGGGAAACTTTTTAAAAAGTACCCAACATTTGAAGGATAATTATTGAAGAAAAAAGTGAGTGAATATGTTTTGATGCCTGTTGGATTTAAAATTTAGAACATAAAGTTACAAAATAAATAAACAATAAGTAACCCTCTCACTTCTCAGTTAAACACTTGATGACAGAATGCCGATCAAATGAAGAAGAGAAAAACTAAATATACCAACGAACTTATACGAAATAATCGGACCCGACTGTCAACCTGAAAAAATCATGTCATTCCTCAGGACAACCGAAATAGACAAATACATTTAAGTAAAATAATTAATATAGTCAACAGCCATAAGCCTCAAAGTYCCCTTATTATTGTAATTAAATTGTMACCTWAAACATGTAATAGCATAATGTAAATTTAAGTATAAAGCTAATGGCCCATGACGCCGAAGCTACAAAGATCAAAAAAAAAAAAAAAAAATAAGCAATAGAGTAAACGATAGATAAAAATAAATAATAATTGGTGCAACAAGTAAATTACATCATAACCATAAATAGTAAGCAGTGTCGTACGTGTGGGTAAGATATTATAATATTGTTGAAAGGTTATTGTTTATAGTGTTTATACGAAAATTTGGATTATTAAAAAATTATTTAGTTAGAATTTCATAAAAATGTTAATTATTCATCTAACATTCAAAAAACTATTACAAATTTTCAGTAAAGGTTTTCTTCRTATGTAAAGAAAAAAAGTTTACCAGAAATTCAGATTAACTCCTAAGTGAGCGTTTGAAGTGCTATTTTTTCGAAATTTCACCTGTAAATGAACTATTCCTCATTAATAGATTTTTGATATTTTGTTCTAATTCAAAAATAAAAACCGTWAATATCTGAAAAACAAATCACACTATAAAGATGTATAGTGTGTAAGCTATAAAAGTACATAAATTGTAGTTTTACACATTRTGGTAACCACTAATAACTCTATTGTAGTCGTTATAGTCATTATTCACACAATCACACATAGGCGATACACTATAGATAGTTTAATTATAATAGGTACACGTGTATTACGGAAAATGACTAATGAGTGCGTATGATTTCTTAATCTGAAGAGTTGAGACAATTTAGTTWAAATCAAATAACTGTTCACTGTGTTTATTTATGTAAACACGTGAACATTGAATAAACATGCGCCTTGAGTATTTACGTATTGACTTACTGTTTTTTTATAAATAAATTATTACATTATATATACACACGGGAAATATATAACAATACTGTACCTCATAAAGTCATAATAGTATAATAATAACTTTAATTATAAACTATAGCTAGTTTTACAATTAAATTATTACTCATAATAAGTTATTAAAGCATCTGGTGCTAATGTAAAATTTCCATAAAAATACGGTAAACGGAATAATGATTTTATTCTGTAAAATTAATCAAATTTGATACTTATTCTTAACATTCTAACTAATAGAGGATGATATTCAACACTCCACACTGAACTCCGTTTTTCAATATTATAATTTCAAACTTTAAAATGTGTCTTAAAAAATAATGCAATTTTAAGATTTGTTAACACATTGGCCTCTGGAAAGAGTAAAGCTAGTGTGTGTTGTGTGTGCCCTCTTGGTTTTTCTTTTCTTTTTAAAATAATAAAATATTTTATGTCCTTATTTCAATTAATAAACCGCTTGGATACCATTTTGATTCCCTCCAAATCCGTTTTATTTAAATTKAGAAAATTTTTTTATCTCTCACCAAATCCTAACCAGTCTCTCCTAAGAAAAATTCTAAAATAAAATAAAAAAATCAGAGTTCAATGTGACCTGTAGAAAGTCTTCTTCTTCAGATGAAAAAATAATTATAAAATGTTGACAATTATTTGTGTAAAGTAATTTTTTTCTATATAATACATTGTATCAACCAACCTCTCTAATTGGTATCCTGCAAAAGAATAGTTGAAAAGTATTATAATCAAAGTGACAACTAAAATATAATTTTTAAATTATATAGAATTTCAGAAAACCTATGAACAGTCCCCTTAAGTATGTGACTAATATTTTTAGTAAAATATCTTTTGAATTCCACATTTTATATCAACAAAATACTTATGAGTCAATCAAACATTTATACAATTTTAATCAACTTTATAAAACTATTATAACACTAGCAATTTGCATTAAAGAAGATTAACAATGTATTAGTAATAATTGCCACCATTCACAGTTCACACACAAATAGTGTTTGATATATCCTAAATACATAATTCAAAGATATAATGGCTGCTATTGAAAATTAACCCATCTTACATTTCTAATAGACTGGCAAACTGTTATACTTTTGATTTTTGAATGAGCCTTTTCAGCCCTAATAGAACGAAGACAACCCATGCAGGTATAACAGTATGTCAGTATATCATTTTTTAAATTTTTTTGTTTTTAGTCATATAGATCTATACATTAGTGGTGCATACAAATATAAAATAAAATAACACACATTTTTAATATTTTAATTATACTATAATTTATAATATATTTAACTATACTTATGTTTGACATATTAAGTGTGATTTAAAACAAAAAATATTAACTCCAGGTTTCGGTTTGATAAAACTCTTTAGTTTCCATCATATCTATAGTATTCAAATGTTTATTTTTTGTAAGTATATTTACAAATACATTTCTTACTGCAGTTGGCATGTCTTTTGCATTTCCAGCAACAAATACATAACATTCATTACTAGAAAGTAATTTCAATAATTCTTTTTCGTTTTTTTCTAAAATATGTTGAACATAACTGCAAAAATAYACAAAATGATTAATTTGATGTTAAAAAAAACAAGAACTAATTGAAATATTACATTTTATGATCTTGATCTCTGGAAAATGCAGTATACAATGATAGTTTTTCATCTTTTACTAGTTTTTCCCAATCATTAACACAATGAAAATCACCCAATCTATTTCTAGCACCAAAATATAAATGTAACGTTTTTGCGTTTCCACATTTATTAGCAACAGCTTCATGCACAAAACTTCGAAACGGTGCAACACCAGTACCAGGTCCGATCATTATTACATTGCAAGACTAAAAATAATATGTTAAGAAAAAAAAAATACATAATTTTGTTCAGATTAAAATTATAAATTGATTCATATTTAATTAATAAAATATTAACTTGGCTATATGGAAATTTAAAAGTTCCWTTTTGAATCCAAACTGGAATTTTATCCCCAATGTTTAAGCTAGCAAGCCACGTAGAACATAAGCCTATTCGTTTAGCCAACAATTTTGTTTTATACGTAACAATAGCAACGAGCAAATGAATTTCATTTATGTGTACCTAAAAGRCAATAATAAAAAAAAAAAAACAAATAAAACTTAAAACCAAATAATTTTATAAAATGTTTAATAATAATTTATTAAATATGCTAAATGAAACTAATAGGTTAATTTTAAATCATATTGTTAACTGCTGTTATCCAGACATATTGTATTACAATATTTTGTAATATAAAAAGTWGGATAAGCTTTTTAAATTTATATAAATACTCTTATTAGAGTTTAATTGAGTTCGTTAACAATAATAAAATAAATGGTATTACTTATTACACAAAACTTAATACTCAGTACAATCAAATATAATAATAGATTATGATATATACTTTTTATCATGTACAAAATATTTTACATCATTAATTTCATTTATGAAATCTATTGTACACTATACATATGCGTATATGACTTAA